ATACCAACCTCCTTCTCACAAAGTGGCCGACCCTGGATTGTTAGTGGCCTAAGAGGTGCTCCTAAGACGTCTTCACAATTTCTATTCTTTCTTACTGATAGTGGGGGGCAGGCTCACACATTTTTCCCATGTATGATCCCTCATTTCATCAGATGCTTAGGTTCTTCACACGGTGAAAGGGTATTGCATAGACTTCCTTTCTCTACTTGTTCAATGTTCCCCATCAAGGGAAATAGTTTTTTCCCAATGAGACACAGACCTTGTCTCTGTGGACAATCAATTGTAGAGATTCTGGCGCATACCCTGGTTTACGTGAGCAACCTTTTCTTGTTTCCCAAAAAAGGCAAAGGTATCCGTCCAGTAATAAATTTGAGACTGCTCAATAGTTATGAGCATATCAGCACTTCCAAGATGGAAGGAGAGCATTGTTTAAGGGATCTTCTCCAACCAGCAGATTGGAAGGCCAAACTGGATCTGCAGGATGCATATCTCAGAGTGCCTATCCCAGTACAACATCAAGATCGAGAACTTCCTGCAATTTACATGGTAGGGCAGTAAATAGAGGTTCAGGTGCCTCCCATTCGGACTGTCTTCGGCTCCATGGTGCTTCACCAAGCTCACATCTTATAATATATTTAGATGGCATTTTCATTCTGGCTCAGTCTATTCAATTAATCCGGACATACCTTGCATGGACTTTGACTCTGTTAGAGAACCTAGGCTTCCTGACCAATTGGGAGAAATCCATTATCGTTCCCACGCAACAAATACAATTTCTGGGTTATATTGGATTATTGTAGATTCTACCCTTCAAACTCTATACCCTCCGGTGGCAAAATTAGCCAATATAAAGAAGGAGATAGGCGAACACTAGCAACCTCTCAACTCTCTCTCTCAAACAACTGTTGAGAATGTTAGGCCTTCTAGCGGCATCTATACACGCCATTTCTACAGGTCTTCTTGGCTATCGAGCCCTACAACGATTACAAACTTCATCTCAAGGGCAGCACATCATACACAGATATGGTAACTCTGGACTCAGAAGCAGAGAATGAACGCCAATGGTGGCTTCTTCACATGGAAGCTTGGAATAAGCACACCATATTTTGTACAGCTCCAGATTTGATAATCAAATCCGACGCAAGTTTGCACGGTTGGGGTGCTCAATGCAGAACTATTTCCACCAAGGGCAGATAATCAAACCTGGAATCAACACTCCACATCAATTGTTTGGAACACCCGGTTCCTTTGCAGTCCATAGTTTCTCCCCAACTCAAGCCCAATGCGCTATCCTTCTGAAGATGGACAACGTGTCAGCAGTCCGCTACATCAATCACTTGGAGGCACAAAATACAAAATTCTGACCTACATGCCTCGTGATTGCTGGCAATTTTGCCTGAGACACGGCATTTCAGTCACGGCAGAATATATTCAAGGTCTCTCCAACACTATGACGGACTGGTATTCACGCCAACTCGGAGATTCCAGCGACTGGCACTTGGATTCCATGGTCTTCCAAGACATCTGGAACCTATGGGGTCTATTGGAAATAGATCTTTTTGCTTCTCGTTTGAATGCTCAGCTTCCCCGTTTTTTCAGTTGGAGACCAGATCCGATAGCATTGGCTATGAATGTTTTCTCCAAGGAATTATGATTTTTTTGCCTTTCCATCTACATCGCCAGTCCGGCACCTGTTGATCGTGGCTCCTCTATCGCCATCCCAACCATAGTTCTCTTTTCTTCAGGAGATGGTTATCAACCTTCCATCTCTCGAGTGCCTTCTTCAGGATCCAGATGGTGTACCTCATCCTCTTGTTCTCCAAGGTCTCTTGCATCTCATAGTGTAGTCTATTTCAGGGAACCTTGGTCGGTCAAGGGAGTTTCGCAATCAACTCCCCAACTTATCAAGGGTGCACCCAACACGAGACAGGCTTATAAATCTGCTTGGAGCAGATGGCATAGTTGGTGCATGAAAATAAATTTAAATCCCATATCGGCTCCTTTTATGTCTGTCCTCCATTTTTCTGACTTCTATGATGAAGGTAAAGCCTATCGCACTGTGGACCTTAACGATCGTCCATTTCTGCTGGCCATCAAAGTTTTGATTGGACGCCTGTCGGTTGACATCCTGTCATATATTGACTTCTCTGAGGAATATGGTTTGCTCATTCACCCTTACCACGATACTCTGTCTTGTGGGACGTCTCTATTGTCTTGAATTTTTTATTTATTTTTCTTGCAAGAGGTTTTTCTGACGTACGAGCTCGTGAGGTGGTTGCTCGTTCCTTTACTCCAGAAGGTGTCCTCTTTGACATTTCACGGAGGACAAAAACCTCCTCTAAAATCTATCTTACCCAGTTTTCCCTGATAGATCTCTCCTTTGCCCTGTTGCATACTAATGGGTGTGTGAACATCGTTCTACTACGTTACAGAATCCTTTGAAACAGGAACTCTTCCAAAAGTCGCATCTTCCGGTGTCTACTCTAGCCTGGTGGATCAAATACGTTATGTCTCTAGCAGGTATTGATACCTATGTGTCAGTGCCTCATTCGGTTCGTAGGGCAATGGCTTCTAAGGCTTCCTCGATTGGTTGTCGCTTGGAGGATATTATGAGAGCGGCTGGTCTTCAGAGTCTACATTCCATGATTTCTACTTTAGACCTATTCAACACTTCACAGGAGACATAATTTCACAGCTTTGAACTAGCATAATAGGAGCCTCCGTGTCTTAATAAAATTTACAGATTTTACTATTAACATGACGTAAAGTCATGATTTTATTAATGACACGGAGGCGAGTATTATCCCTCCCTCCCATCCCTGGAGATTTGGTCTTCTCTGGGTAAGTTGACTTCACGGTAAGTCTTTTTTGATTACTGGGTTTTATCCTTGTTAATGACTGTCAAGAGCTTAAGGTTTGACTAAACTGAATTTCATGTTATGTGTATATATATATCTGATATTTCATGTAATGCGAATTTATGCATAAATCCAGTTTTATACTTGGATATTACCATATTCTCTTTTCTCTTCCAGCTTGACTTCTAGATCCAGTTTAAGGCTCGTATACCTTCTAATTGGAGCCCACTTTTTATTTGGATTTGTTGTCCTTGTTCGGGATCGCAAGAAAGAGGAAGTAGTATACTGGACACTGCCTATTATGCTATAAAGAGGATGCTGATTGGCTGTTGCTGTTGCTAGGAAGATATACCTCATGTTATTTACTGGTTTCTTTTATACTGATTTAATGTTATTTTTCTTTGCTGCTGAGGTAAATAAAGAAAGAGTGCAGCATAATACTCGCCTCCGTGTCATTAATAAAATCATGTCTTTACGTCATGTTAATAGTAAAATCTGTAAATTGCACAAGGTTTGAATTCCTGTTGGTAATTATAAGGCTTTTGATTAGATTACTTGCTATTGATTGCTGTTTAAATTAGCTATTGTTTGCAAATAAGCAGAGGCCTACCCAGGTGTTCCTAGTGGGTGGTGATTTTAGGACTTATATAAGGGCTGTTGCCATTAGCTTGGCTAATATAGCTTGGTTGCTACTTCTAAGTGCTGTTTCTAAGTGTGTAGTTGGAGATATTCTGGAGGTAATCTGAGGTATTCAGGAGGATAAATACAAAGTTAAGATTTGTTTGATTTAAAGTATTCTCATTGGAATGGCAGACTTAGTTCAGTGTAATAGTTGCTATGCATTTGTTTCACGTTCCACTTTTTGGAGGTTTGGTTGTTGTCTAATCTGTAGACAGTTCTCTATCTTGCGGCAGGAGATTGTATTTTTGAAGTCTGAGATTTGTAAATTACCTGGTGAACAAACTCAGACTGGAACTGCTGCAAAGCCATTGCCGCAGAGACATACTAGGAATGGCATATGGATTACTGTAGGATCTGGTAGACTTAGAGTTGTGGATAAAAGGCATTTTGCACAGTCTGTTGCTCTTCATAATTCATTTTCTGCACTTTCAGAGTGTAATGGTGTTGTGGAGAGAGGCACTGAGGCTAGTGGTGTTGTGGAGAGAGGCACTGAGGCTAGTGGTGTTGTGGAGACCGGCTTGGAGACTATGGTGAGGCCTAATAGAAAGCAGTTGTTGTTGGGTGATTCCATTATAAGAGGTGTGGAGATGGACAATGGTGGTCTTGTGAGGTGTCTTCCCAGAGCTACTGCTCACAGAGACAGGAGACGTATCTGTAATATTGTTAAGCAAGCAAAGCAGGAAGGGGAATTGGATGTACTTGTCCATCTAGGGACAAATGACTTGGCTTGCAATGAGGTTTCAGAGGTTAAGGAAGTTTTTAGTGTTTTTGCCAATGATATACGGCAGGTTGCTTCCACACTGTCATTCTCTGAAGTTCTGCCTGTGCATAACACTCAGAGCGACAGGCGGATGCGTATTAGGGACTTTAATTTGTGGCTTGGTGAATGGTGTCGGGAGCAAGGATTTGGCTTTATTTCTCATGGTAGCTCTGTTTGGAATGGAGATAAGCTGTACAAAAAAGATGGTTTGCATCTTTCTCAAAAGGGAACAAATGTTCTCAGTGAGCAGTTCAGAGGTTTTGCTAGGATGTATTTAAACTAGGAGGGGGGGCAAGAGGGTGATAAAACATCAATCCAATTGTCCCCCAAAACAAGGACAGAAGGTGCCTGTAGCAAGTGTGTTAAAAAATGATAAGCTAGGGGGCGGGGCCTGACCGGGGAGCTGAGCAGACATGCTTTCTGTGAGCTCCCGAGCCTGGGCCGGATTTTTGGCGCAAAACTCACACAAACTGGTCCTTTAGCCCACCGCAACTGGCACTGTGAAACCTGCAAACCCGCTGGGTGTCTGGGCCGTAAACTTGGGGCCTACAACGCATGGTGGTGGGGAGAGGTGGCCGCTCTCCCGACCTGCCTAACCAAGCAGACCCCGAAGCATCTGGCCTCCCTACCCCCCCCCCCCAGGATCAGTGGGGGTTATCCTGGTCCAGAAAAGCATGTACCATAAGCCTCAATTGCCTGCAATGGATGAAGATAGCCAACAGCACGAAACACAAAGTCAAGCAGACTCTCATAAAATGGCGACCTCAGGCCAAACTGCAGAGCATGCTCCCACCCAGCCTATACACGAGCGCCTTGATGCACTGTTCAGCCAGTTCTGGGAGAAGCTGGAAAGACGGATGGCACGTCAAACCCTTAAATACCAAGAAGAGGTGAGGCTGTCCCAAGCTGTAAGGCAGAGCGGGCAGACCCCGGGAAAAGCCGCCGTGCACAGACAGGAGGAACACCCATCCCGGCAGGGGAATATTAGGAGACTCCCTCCTATCCACCGACCACACCGCAGGAGAGCCGCCCGCCGCTGGCGGCGGATAACCACCAGGGCCCTCCACAGCGCCCATCATGGGAAAGACCTGGCCCCGAGAGGCAACCGAGTCTGTGGCCACATGGTGCCAACCCCACAGGATGCCGGGAATACAGGAAAAGGCCCCAGCCGCAACCACCTCCTCTCCTCGCTGACCCACCTGAAATCGCTGCCGGAACTCCCACCCAGATGGAGCCTGAACGGCCTACACTTACCCAGTCGCACAAGCAGAGCCACCAGAACGAGCATAGGGTGAGGCAACCCGGACGCATGCAGGCCGCGACCCGCAACCAACAACCCAGCCCGCAAAGAGAAACACACCAGAGGCATCGGCTGAGATCTGCGGCCACCCCATCCCCGGCTCACGGTCTGGCTACTTTTCAGGACTTAAATTGTTGGACACTCTGTGGTACATCCACACCAGTTCATTTACCTAGATATGTTACTCTAGACACACTCATATAGTAAAAACTCACTAGAAAGTTATTGAAAGTATATTGGAACACGCTATATAAGTGGCCTACTACTATCATAGCATAACATGTCTCATATATGATAATACAGATTATGTACACCGTAATAACACGAGACAGTAAACTACCAGTCAGACTGTACATACTGCAAAGGATTTATTGCATATTTGCCCTACAATCATTACTAGTACTGGGAATAATTCTGTTGGGCTTGTTTAATTTTAATTTGATTTTACTTAGTTTTTACAAGCCAGTCTTAGCTTGTCTTGTTCAGCCTGAATGTACTTAAATCATAAATTACATTGGAAATGTCACACTCGTCATATAACATCTTAAGTAAGCGTGTTTACAATACGTTTCTGTTAAGCGACTTACAAAAATATAAAAAATGAGGCATTAATATTCTGGAAATGTTATCAACAAGATTTTTGCTGTATTAACCCTATTCTGTGGACTACCCATGCATTTCCCCTGTTTCTATTCTGTACCCTTCATATGTGCCTTAATAAAAGAAAGATTGACAAAAAAAATAAAAAAATGATAAGCTTAGAGTCATGTCTACAAATGCTTGCAGTTTAGGGAATAAGATCCATGAACTTGTGGCAATAATGGCAACTGATAGTGTAGATTTAGTCGCTGTTACTGAGACATGGTACAATGAGAAAAATGACTGGGACATAGCAATACCAGGGTACTCTTTATATAGGAAAGATAGGGAAGGCAAGAAAGGGGGAGGGGTGGCCTTGTATGTGAAGGATAGCATAAAATCCAGCCTAATAAAAGTTAGTGAGGCAAACATAGAGTCCGTTTGAGTTACGTTAGAATTTGATAATCACACAGTAACTAGTTTAGGTGTGATTTATAGGCCCCTAGGACAAATTGAAGAGTTAGATAATGTACTAGTTGATGAAATAGCTAAAATGACAATGAAGGGGGAAGTTATCATCATGGGTGACTTTAATCTTCCTGATGTAAATTGGAAAACAAAATTAGCTACTTGTGCCAGGAGCACACATATTCTAAACTCCCTACTGGGATTGTCTCTAAAACAAGTTGTTGAGGAGCCAACTCGTAAAGAGGCCATACTAGATTTAGTGTTAACAAATGGAGATTTGGTATCAGATATTACCGTAGGTGAAAGTTTAGGATCCAGTGATCATCAGTCAGTGTGGTTTAATATAAGAACAGTGACTGAGTCACACCACACAAAAACAAAAGTTTTAGACCTTAGAAAAACAGACTTTTCTAAAATTAGAATATGGGTAGAGGAGTCATTATCAGACTGGAGCAATTTAAATGGAGTCCAAGAGAAATGGGATTATTTAAAAGTTGCACTATTGAAGGCAACAGAAAATTGCATTAGGCTTGTCAGTAAAAGCAAAAATTCAAGAAACCACTGTGGTACTCCGCAGATGTGGCCAAAATAGTTAAAAACAAAAAGTTAGCATTTAGAAATTATAAAAAAAACCAGAGTGAGGAAGACAAAATGATCTATAAGATTAAGCAGAAAGAGGCTAAGCAAGTTATAAGAGCTTCCAAATCACACACAGAAGAGAAAATAGCACAGTCAGTAAAAAAGGGGATAAAACATTTTTTAGATACATAAATGAGAAAAGAAAAGTAAAACAAGGATTAGTTAGATTAAAAACAAAAGAAGGAAGGTATGTAGAAGAGAATAAAGGTCTAGCTGACTGCCCCAATTAATATTTTTGTTCTGTATTTACAGATGAAAATGAAGGAAAGGGACCTCAGTTAAGAAAAAGGATAAATTAGTCATTTATTACACGTGAGTTTACAGAGGAAGAGGTTCTATTTCAACTGTCAAAAGTAAAGACAAATAAGTCAATGAGACCTGATGGAATACACCCAAAGCTATTAAAAGAGCTTAGTGGTGTACTAGAAAAACCATTAACAGATTTATTTAACCAATCATTGTTAACAGGAGTAGTCCCAGAAGATTGGAAGTTAGCGAATGTTGTGCCCATTTACAAGAAAGGTAATAGGGAGGAGTCGGCAACTATAGGCCAGTAAGCCTTACTTCAGTAGTGGGGAAAGTGATGGAAACCATGTTAAAAGATAGGATTGATGAACATCTAAAAACACATGGATTTCAAGATCAGAGACAACATGGGTTTACTTCAGGGAGATCATGCCAAACTAATCTTATTGATTTTTTTGATTGGGTAACTAAAATTATAGATCAGGGTGGTGCAGTAGACATTGCTTACCTAGATTTCAGTAAGGCTTTTGACACTGTTGCACATAGAAGGCTTATCAATAAACTGCAATCTTTAAGTTTGGATTCAAATATTGTTGAATGGGTAAGGCAGTGGCTGAGTGACAGGCAACAGAGGGTTGTAGTTAATGGAATATATTCAAAGCTTGGACTTGTCACCAGTGGGGTACCTCAGGGATCTGTACTTGGACCCATTCTCTTTAATATTTTTATTAGTGATATTGCAGAAGGTCTTGATGGTAAGGTATGTATTTTTGCTGATGATACTAAGATATGTAACAGGGTTGATGTTCCAGGAGGGATAAGCCAAATGGCAAATGATTTAGGTAAACTAGAAAAATGGTCAGAATTGTGGCAACTGACATTTAATGTGGATAAGTGCAAGATAATGCATCTTGGACGTAAAAACCCAAGGGCAGAGTACAGAATATTTGATAGAGTCCTAACCTCAACAATTGAGGAAAGGGATTTAGGGGTGATTATTTCTGATGACTTAAAGGTAGGCAGACAATGTAATAGAGCAGTAGGAAATGCTAGCAGAATGCTTGGTTGTATAGGGAGAGGCATTAGCAGTAGAAAGAGGGAAGTGCTCATGCCATTGTACAGAACACTGGTGAGACCTCACTTGGAGTATTGTACACAGTACTGGAGACCGTATCTTCAGAAGGATATTGATACCTTAGAGAGGGTTCAGAGAAGGGCTACTAAACTGGTTCATGGATTGCGGGATAAAACTTACCAGGAAAGGTTAAAGGATCTTAACATGTATAGCTTGGAGGAAAGACGAGACAGGGGGATATGATAGAAACATTTAAATATATAAAGGGAATCAACACAGTAAAGGAGGAGACTATATTTAAAAGAAGAAAAACTACCACAACAAGAGGACATAGTCTTAAATTAGAGGGACAAAGGTTTAAAAATAATATCAGGAAGTATTACTTTACTGAGAGGGTAGTGGATGCATGGAATAGCCTTCCAGCTGAAGTGGTAGAGGTTAACACAGTAAAGGAGTTTAAGCATGCGTGGGATAGGCATAAGGCTATCCTAACTATAAAATAAGGCTAGGGACTAATGAAAGTATTTAGAAAATTGGCCAGACTAGATGGGCCGAATGGTTCTTATCTGCCGTCACATTCTATGTTTCTATGTCTTGTTTTTCTTTTTTTTTGCCTTTTCCACTTTTTTTTTTCCATTCTCTGCAGTCTGTGACTATGAGTGCAGAAGGAGAGTTTTCAAATTATGGCTCAAAACTGTGATCTCTGACTTGTTTCCTAACGACCTGTTGGCCTTTCCAGCCCTTCAACTCTCGATGGCCTATATCCTGCACATCTCAGGAATCAGATTCAGGGGAATCCCATTCTACAACAGTTGAAGGTTTCACAAGAAATACCCTTGGAAGGGCCAGAGCACCTCAGCAGGTAAGAGCAAACACCCTGTTACATTATCAAAGTTATCCATAGAGTCTACATGTCAGTAGCTTTTGGAACTTACAGACACAGCAGAAGAAGTGTCACACATAACTACAATCTTCTGGATATCCACTACCATGACAGCCTGATAATGAATCCCACCTGCTAAAGCTGCCTCAAATGGATGCTCATTTTGTGCTACTCCACTCTGTCCCACTTGCACCCTCTATTAAGCAACCCACTGGGAATGACCCTCACTCCAAAATCTTTTGTTTTGGGACAACTACTGTTTTATCCTTGTATTTGAAACAGATATGCTCGGCGGAGTAAGCCCCTCTGAGGCATATCGAGAATTTCTCCACATTTGGTTCAGAAAGTCATTGGAAAAGGATGTTGGAAGCAAACTTTGGACCGAATACCTCCACCTTACAATACCAGATAGACTAATTTTAACACCATCTTTTGATTGGATGCTTATTATATCTATGAACAAGTCAAGACTGGTTTCCCAGGTAAAGGGCGCATAACTCCCTCACAATTTTTCAAACAAAATATTTTTACGATTTTTAATATATGACACTGATATTTCAGCAGCATAAAAAAATAGGATGATAGAGGGGCACATCTTAGCGGTTATTGCTCTTTGTTCTCTGGTTACTTATATTATCTTGTTACCTCCTTGTTTGTTGCTTGCAGGTTACAGTAAATAATGTTAAGCAAATATTCACTTCTTGCCTTTATTAAAATATAGACTATACTGACACCAAGGCCAAGCAAATCTCAGATTTTCACATCTTTCAGACATTTTGTTCTTGAACAACAGGTAGAAAGGCCTTCGTGGAATGATCATGCAGTTGTAAGTACACTGTCAATTAAAAATAGTGCAGAGTGCAAAGTGATAATAAGGTTCAGAGAATAAATGAACAGTTGTCATCAAAGCAAAATGTACAAAACATATTTTCATACCTTATAAAATGTATTTACAAGGACAAATATTGGTAACAGCATGTCATGTGAACTTGAGCGGTGCAGCTCAATTAGAAACCAGAGATTCTTAGAAGTTCAAAATATCTACCTTATTTAGAGGATAAAATAAATGTAATATTATAAAGAATAACGAAAACTGCATACAACATATTAAAAAGGAACTTTATAAACCTGCAAAAAAAATGTATAATCAATAAAGAAAAGGGCATATATAAAATAGCAAATATAAATGGCCAAAACTATATTAATTCAGCTAATAAAATAAATTATTATAGGAACCAATATTTTGTATAGGTCATTGTCCCAGAAGTCTAGAATATCAAACCACAATTCTAAAACTATTTCCATCATACAACA